GGGAATGGATGGGTGGCGCCATCTCTGGATTAAGAATATTGGCTTGATATCCAAGACATTATATGAGGCCCAGAAGTCTGTTCCTTTCATGTGGGGTCAACAACAAGAAGAGGCCTTTGATACACTTAAACAAGCTCTAATGTCAGCACCAGCTTTAGGATTACGTGATTTAACTAAAGGCTTCCAGTTGTTTGTCCATGAAGGACAGCACCTTGCCCTGGGAGCCCTGACCCAGAGGATGGGAAGCTGGAAGAGACCTGTGGGGTACTTTTCTAAAGAACTGGATACGGTGAGCGAAGGATGGCCTTCCTGCCAGCAGGCAGTAGCAGCAACAGGAATACTGATACAAGAAGCCAGAAAGCTCACCTTGGGAAGAATCCTCACGGTTTGTGTTCCACATATGGCTGTTACAGTGCTGGAACAAAAAGGGGGGTATTGGTTATCCACAGCAGAATGATGAAATATCAGGTAATCCTTACGGAACAAGATGATGTGGTCCTAAAAACAACTAACCTTGTAAAGCCTGCAGTTTTTCTGAGTGCTTCACAGGAAGAAGAAGGACCCGAGCATGACTGCATAACGACTATTGAGCACGTGTATTCCAGCCGAGAAGACCTGAAGGATGTCCCTCTTGAAAACCCTGAATGTGAGTGACCCTGTTCAGGGATGGCAGTAGCTTTGTACAGAATGGAATTCACTACGCAGGATACGTGGTAACAACTGAAAATACTGTGACAGAGACAAATGCACTGCCCAATGCTACATCAGCACAGAAGGCAGAATTGATTGTCTCGACATGAGCTCTGGAACTAAACAAAGGAAAGAAAGTGAATATATGGACAGATTCAAAATATGCTTTTGGAGTAGTCCATGTCCATGGAGTTCTATGGAAAGAACGAGGACTATTGTCCTCCCAGGGGGCAAATATTAAGCATCAAAAGGAAATCTTACAATTCTTACTGGCGGTTCAAGAACCGGCCCAAATAGCAGTCATGATCTGTAAAGCGCATCACTCTGGAAATACAAAAGTAGCAGAAGGAAATAGATTGGCAGACCCAGCTGCTCATAATTCAGCTAAACAGTGATGGTTACAAATGGCAGTAATTCCTACTAGAACTGTAATTCTCCCTAAAGAACCAGCAACATATTCAAAAGAAGATGAGAAATTAGCTCAGTTTCTAAGTGCTTCTTCTAAGAGAAAAATCCAGAGGGATGGTGGACAACCGCTGAAGCTCAGGTGGTTGTGCCCCCATTAATTATGAGGGCAATACTAACAGGTAAAACATCAGGAATGCCATTAGGGTGTAGAAGCCCTGGTGACATTCCTGAAGAGGCACATAGTAACAGTAAGGATGTTAGAAATGGCTAAATCAGTTGCTGCAAAGTGCAAAGTATGTTTAAAGAATAATCCGGTGGTACAAAAAAGGGTTCAAATGGGTAAATTTAAAACAGGAGTAGAACCTGGTGACTACTGGCAGATTGGTTTGACAGAATTACCCAAATGCAAAGGTTATCGGTATGTTCTGGATGGGGTGGATACTTTTTTATGGATGGCCGGAAGCCCTTCCCAGTCACACAAATCAAGCTAAGGAAACAGTTAAGTGGCTTTTATAAGAAATAATCCAAAATTTCACGTGCCTATAGGAATAACATCAGATAGGAGTCCGCATTTTATAGGAACTGTGGTGCAGGACACGAGCAAAGCTCTAGGGATGACCTGGGTTTTGCATGCTCCCTGGAGACCACAATCCAGTGGAAAAGTAGAAAGAGTGAATTAGACTTTCAAGAGACAAATTAGCAAAAGATGTCAAGAGGCTAACTTGAAATGGCCTCGAGCACTCCCACTGGCATTACTGCATATTAGAATACAGCCGAGGAGTGAGATGTCAGCCAGCCCCTATGAATTACTTTACGGAAAACCATATGAGACACTGGAAACCAATACAAATATGCATGTACCAAGAAAATAAAAAGTGTATAATTACTTACTTTCCCTTGGAAAAAGTTTAGTTAGACTCTGGAGTGTGGTGGTGTGGAATCCCGTATAAGACTGCCAACCTGGGGACTATGTCTACATAAAGACCTGTACAGCAGAGCCCCTACAAGAGAAGTGGAAGGGACATTGCCAAGTGCTGCTAACTACATTCACCACAATCAAGATTGCTGAATCAGATGCCTGGATCCATTATACCAGAATGAAGAAGCCATTGTCTACAAACTGGAGATCCAGAAACCTTAACAATTGACTCTGAAGCATGATTAAGTATCTGATTCTTTTTTTTTTTTTTTTTTTTTTTTTCCTGTAAATTTTATAGTGTATGATGGTGGACACATGGATGAAGGAAAAATAAATCATTATCAGGACTGACACTGGTGACCAATGGTGTTCGTAGGGCTTGGTCTGACATACAATTGTTTGAAACATGAATTGACCCATAGAGCAGAGTTTAATTGAAAAGCAGAGGCGAAGCAACGAGACAAGTCATTAAAAGATCCACCATCATATGACAGTTTGGCACTCAATGAGACCACAATTTGAATATGTGAAAGTATTGAGTACGATTATCAAGCTTTTCAAAAGAGGGAAATGTTGCAGTTACCCTAATAAAATAGCTTGAATCCTAGATTAGTATTTTGATTTTAGTTTAGAATATGATTTTGATTTTAAAATGGAGTTATAGCAGCTATGAGAATATAAAGCATGTTAAGGCCCTTAGGAATAGGTAGCTAGTATGGCGTGTGCCTTGATCACTATGAGAATCGTTATGGACTATGAATTAAAACAACGGGTACTGGTTATGGACCTTGAGTCAAAACAATAAGTACCAGAAGATGCTGGTTTTGGTTGGGAAGATCAGCCAAAGAAGAAATAAGCATGCACAGGGATGGAATTCAATCATCAGACACAGTGATGAAGAATATCGACGACTACTAGAGCACCCGCATCCAACATAACTACGTATGCATTAGAGACATTAGCATATGACAATTATTTCCAGGAATAACATGAATATGCTAATCATTACCCTCCCCTCATTCTATTCCAGTCAATCACTAAAGATGACCAATGATTTCTGTAGAATAGAAATAGAGGTAAGGTGAGGTAACTGAAAGCCAATCATTATAGAGGTTAAATTAAACTTTATGAATTTTGTTGATGCTATGTAACTGTCCTGATTTGGGCTGGAATAGAGTTAATGTTTACTTTTGGTAACTAGAATAGTGCTGTGTTTTAGATTCAGCATTGGGTTTGGTATGAGAAGAATGCTGATAGCACACTGATGTTTTCAGCTGCTGCTGAGATTTCAAGGACTCTCCAACTCCCCAAGTCCTGCCCGTGTACAAGTGCACAAGAAGCAGGGAGGGAGCACAGCCAGAGCACCAGACCCAAATTGGCCAATGACATATTTCATATCATGGAACGTCATGCTCACTATATAGAGGAGGTGCAGTCGGGAAGGGATTCTTTCCGTCTCGCTTCCATGATTGTGATTGCAGGATCTTGGTATTTCGGGATTGCTAGCCAGGAACGGGCTGGGTATTGGTCAGCAGGTGGTGAGCAATTGCATTGTGCATTGCTTGTTTATATTTTCTATTACTGACACTGTTTTTGTTTTATTAGCATTATTAAACTGTTTCTATCTCAACCTGTGAGTCTCCCTTTCCCTCTCCAATTCCCTCCCCCATTCCCAGGTTGGGGGGAAGGGTGGGTGAGCAGCTGTGAGGTGGTTGGCTGCCGACCAGGCTCAAATCACAACAGTAACCATGACTCTGCTAAAAAAAGTGTATAAATGTATTGTGCCTTGTACCTGTTGGTGAACATGTCTTTGGTGGATCTATCCCCCATGTTCCTGAGTGCTGGAATAAAGAAGTGACTGCTTATCCGCTTTGTGTAGATAACTGCTATTCATAATTGCAACCACTAGCACGAGTGCTCTCACTGCATGCTCACTCAGTATAAGCTGTGCAATGGCGTTTTCTCTCCCAGACAGTTTACAACCCAGTCCAGCACCTTCCCAGAACTCCCCATGCCCACCACACCCTCCCTAGCCCATCCCAGCACAACATCCCAGTCTTGGCTGTCCCCATGACATTGCCCAGCGCAGGGTGCTGCAGAGCTCTGGGCACTCACCCCACAGCCCCAGCCCCTCGGAAGGTCATAGCAGCTCCTGGGGCACAGAGGGCTCTCAGCCTCCCCATCAGCCCCAGGGCTGGGGCCAGCCATGCCATGAGCAGACGCAGGCCAGCGTCTCCCTCTCTCTGCTGCTCTTCTCTCCAAGAGATCCTGATTGCCCAGTGCTGGCAGCCCCTCTGTGCCCGTCCCTCTCCCCAGCACAAGACTCCTGCACTGGGGGCTCCCCAGGCAGCTCCTGCTGTGCCAGCCAGAGAAAATCTGCCCAAACTGGTGCCTCCAGAAATAGGTCTGCTCTTGTCGCGGGATGTCACCTCAGGCACGGCCCTGAGCTGGCGGTGCTGCTCTGCAGGGCAGTGGTGGCTGAAAGCCACGGGGAGATGGTCCCAGGGAGATCCCCATGGATCAGCCATCATTGCCATTGCACTGGGCACCCCCACGTGAAGGGGCAGCACAGGCCTATTCCCTAACACATCCCCCCATGCCCTCCTGCCCTGAACCCCTGGAGAACCCCAGCACAGCAGCACGCTCAGAGGGGCAATTCCTTCAGCCTGTTCCTGACCTCAGCTTGGGAGGAAGAGACCAACCTCCAGATATCAGCACAGAGAAAACCTGTTTATTACAGATGTGCGGCATGGGAGGCCAGCTGTACTGTCCTACCAGACACATGTAGAAAGGGCTCTGGGTCAGAGAGGCTGGTTCATGTCTCTGAGGAAGAGGAGTGGATGCAGACAGTTTGGAAGAAACAAGATTTTCACAGACAAAATGCTGAATACAAAGAAGTATTCAGAGAAAAATTTGAAATTATTTTGAGGAGACAAGGTTTTAAATAAGTGTTGCAAACGTCTTCTGAAGAGACATAGGCAGCTCATTCCTGATGAAAGCCAATTGACTGAATCAGTTTCTTGAGTGCATCCTTGATGTCCTGGTTCCTCATGCTGTAGATGAGGGGGTTCACTGCTGGAGGCACCACCGAGTACAGAACGGACACCACCAGGTCCAGGGATGGGGAGGAGATGGAGGGGGGTTTCAGGTAAGCAAAAAATGAAGTGCTGATTAACAGGAAGACCACGGTCAGGTGAGGGAGGCATGTAGAAAAAGATTTGTGCTGTCCCTGCTTAGAAGGGATCCTCAGCACGGCCCTGAAGATCTCCACATAAGACAGCACTATGAAAACAAAACATCCAAGTGCTAAACAGGCACTAAACACAAGAAGCTCAGCTTCCCTGTGGTAGGAGTCAGAGCAGGAGAGCTTGAGGATCTTGGGGATTTCACAGAAGAACTGGTCCACAGCATTGCCTCTGCAGAGTGGTAGGGAAAATGTGTTGGCAGTGTGCAGGAGAGAATAGAGCAACCCAGTGCCCCAGGCAGCTGCTGCCATGTGGACACAAGCTCTGCTGCCCAGGAGGGTCCCGTAGTGCAGGGGTTGGCAGATGGCAACGTAGCGGTCATAGGCCATGATGGTGAGAAGAGAAAACTCTGCTGCAATGAAGAAAATAAATAAAAAGATCTGGGCAGCACATCCTGCATAGGAGATGCCCCTGGTGTCCCAGAGGGAATTGGCCATGGCTTTGGGGAGAATGGTGGAGATGGAGCCGAGGTCGAGGAGGGAGAGGTTGAGGAGGAAGAAGTACATGGGGGTGTGGAGATGGTGGTCGCAGGCGATGGTGGTGATGATGAGGCCGTTTCCCAGGAGGGTAGACAGGTAGATGCCCAGGAAGAGCCAGAAGTGCAGGAGCTGCAGCTCCCGTCTGTCTGCAAATGCCAGGAGGAGGAAGTGGGTGATGGAGCTGCTGTTGGACATTTGCTCGCTGCAGGCAGGGAAGTTGAACTAGAAGACATTGACAAGTTAGGGCAGACTTGTTTTATTCAATCTTATGCTGTTTCCCAAAAAGTCTCCTCAAAATTATTTCTCTTTCTTTGGGGAAAATATATTCCATTCCTTATTATGAGCTCAGATTTGTGATGTTGCTGAGGAGACATTATTTGAAGGGGCAGAAATTCTCATCTTTCACAAAAAATGGCTCCTTCCTCCCTAGTACAGAGTCCAGAAAATACTGGAGGAAGTGCTGGCTCTCTGCTCCCTCGAGTTGTTTTCTGCTAGAAGCCATTTCTGTGTCCCCATGTCACTGCCCTGACAGTGTTTCCAGCCCCCCCACCCCACACTCTGTGTGCTCAGCTCTGCCCTGCAGACCCCTACTGGCAATAAGGCACTGCCCAGGCGCATTCCCTACTTCCAGATTCAAAGGAGAACAGAAGGAAAAACCAGAACCTTCAAACAAAGGTGACGCTGTTGTGTATGTAAGTAGAGGAGTGGGTGAATACACTTTATGAAGTTTCTGACAAATCCGCTGATCCCCCAGTTTAACAGTTCAGAGGTCTCAGTGACATATTAAAATTTCACAACCTCTTTCTACTTTTTCTTAGAAGAAACATGAGATCATAGAGCCTAGAAAAGACCACATTTTTAAGGTGGTCCCTGCTTTGAACTTCCTCCTGAAATGCCAATGTCCTAGACGTAATCTGGAGCTGTGAGCATCCGTGATCCAAGCAGTAGCCTCTGGAGAGCAGAAGGACCCTGCCCTGGTGGGGGTCTCTCCTTCTCCCCACAGTGCCATGGGGAGCTCCCCGGGCAGGCTGAGTGCTGACCCTGGCAGGCAGCAGAGTCCCTGCCCCAGCACACAGCCCCCTGGGGTGCAGGGACCCTGCTGGGAAGGACAGCCCTGGGCACCCCTGCCTGCACACCCGGCTGCACACCCCTGCAGCCAGCCCCCACAGAAGGCAGCCCTCATGCCCTGGCCCTCGCAGGGGGCACCAGGGAAGCCCTGCTTTGGGAGCAGATCCTCCTCCTCCTCCTCCTCCTCTAGGCAGGAGGCAGATTCCTGGCGGCTCTGCCGCCTTCCCCAGATCCCTCCCCGAGCTGCAGCTGCATTGCCCTGCACCCCCAGACTTACTGTGGCCAGGGCCCTGACGCTTTCTCCTCCTCGGAGCTCTCAGCAGCCTCCCAGCCCAGGCTGCCTTGAAGCTGTGTGTGCCTCGCTGCTCTGCCCTGGGTGCCTGCAGGCAGTGCCCCCAGCCCTGCTGCGCTTTGCAGAGGAGCTGCTCCTGGGCAGAGCTGTCTCTCTGCAGCGCTGCCCACTTGCCAGGAGCTCCCTCCGGCCCAGGAGTCCGGCCCAGCTCAGAACCACAGCAACAGCCCAAGGCACTTTAATGACCCCTCAGGAGGGTTTGGTGCCAACTCCATCAACCTCAGGCACTGAGAGGTAGGTGATGAAACGTTTCAAGGAGTCAGTATCAGATACAAACTCCAAAGTTTCCTGCACTGTTAATTGCTCCCACTGAGGACGCTATTGACAAAAACTCCCCAGGGGCTGGTTACAGCAGAAAACTGGAGAAAATTATGACCGGTAGACAAATGCCATTGAAAGGAAGAGATTCTGTGTGAACATGGATGTGTTATGTTAAGAGAAAGGACAAATTGCTCACCTCCAGCCCCTGGGATGGGAGATCCTGTCCCTCTCACATTCGCTCAGGACTCTTCCTGGGGTAGTATTCTATGGGGATGAGCAATGCCAAGAGCATGACTACTGTACAATACCTCCGAAGCTCCCAGGTTGGAAAGGGCTGGCAATGAGACTCGACTGCTGTACGGATCAGGTGGGATGTCAGCAGAGAGGAGGTGTCTGAAGAAGGCCTCATCTACATCCTCTTCCTGATCAGGAGATCTGTAGCAGACATCCACCCACTGCAGTGGTGCCCATGATGTTCGCCCTTCTCCTGTTGACCCCTCAGCTCCCAGATGACTCATTGTCCATCCCCAGGCAGAGCTAAATGCGTTCCTGCAGCTCCCTCCCAAAGGGCTGCTTCCCCTCTGGGTCCAGACCCACAGCTTTATCAGTACCAGACCCCCAAGAAGCCACAGTTCCTCCAGGAGGGGTATTGGCAGTGCCCTGCAACTCCTCGTACTGTTCTCTTGTGAGAGACGCCCCAGTCAAGATGAACCAGCTGCATGCAAGCATTAAAAGCAATACAGTGAGGTGCAAGCCATGCAGGCGGGTTTTGGAGCACATTTGGAACATCTGCCTGATAAGGGTGACTGAGAAACCCGTGAGGTGAAGTGCCCTGTGGGACTTCATCTTTACAAAGAAGAGCTGGCCAGGGATGTAACACTCAGGGATGAGAAGGTATAGTTGAGGCTCCTGAAAAAATGGCACCCTTAGATTTTTCCTCTTGTTTCCTCTCCTATTTTGCTGTTTAATTCTTATTTTTCCCTCTGACAGCGAGAATGTTTTATCAGACTGGTTTTCAGCAAGAAAGTTGTCACTGACTGAGGAAGATTCTTTATAATTTTTCTGTTCTACCTGGCAAAGGTCAACCGTGGATGGAAAGACATGCTTAAAAACAGAACAATTTTAAAAACAGCATGTTTTTCTTTTCTCTGTTGGGCTTTGGTGTTCCTTGGTAATCAAACCCTTTCCAGGGAATAAATCTTCCCTCTTTTCTAACTCTCCTGCTTGCCTTTACTTCCCACACACTTCTGCATTTGTCAACGTCTTCATGCTGCCTTCTCCCTGTTTCTGTCCTAATCAAAAGGCTAAAGCCACTTCACTGACGTGTTTTCCCTTTCACTACAATACATTTTTGATCAGCCTAAAATACATGTTTAAATAAGCTACAGTAAAAACAAGTGAGAAATCCCTATTTTTTCTCCATTGACTGTGAAGTGACTCTTGGGGAAAGAGCTCAAATACAAGAACTTACATACAGTTTACAGTGGATTCCTACTCTAGCCCCCATACTACGTTTGCTCTTAGTGCATAAAATGCCTTCTTGCGCTAGGCTAATTCTTCCCTCCTCTCTTTTGTTCTCCTTTCAATCTTTGTATGAATCTCTTATCCTTCTACACTGTTTTGTTCTGTCTCATCTTCTTTTAACTTCCTGAAGCTCTTTCCCATGATGACCATCTGCCCTCACTTATTGCAGCTCGGATGCTGAGATGTTGAACCATACGACCGTCACAGAGTTCCTTCTCTTTGGCTACTCCTCCCTCTAACATCAGGAACACCTAATGGCAATTACTCTCCTGGCTTTGTGTCTGGTGATCTTAGGGGGAAACTTGCTGATTGTTTCCCTCATCCTCGCTGAAAGAGACCTCTACGGGCCCAGGTACCTTTTCCTCTGTAACCTCTCCTGTCTGGAGATCTTCATCACGACATCCGTCATATCCAAAGCCAGAGGAAACTTGCTGATGGGCAGCAAAGCCACTTCCTATCCAAGCTGCTGAACTCAGTGCTACTTCTACTCTCCTCTGGGCTACCTCGAGTTTGTCCTTCTGGCTGTCATGTCCTATGACTGTTCTATGGCCTTGTGTCACCCTCTTCAGTACTCCATGCTCATGAGCAGTCACCTTTGTTTTCAGCTACCATTGGGCTTGTGGACTTCGGGATTCCTAGCCACCATTGCCTCCACTGTCCTGGCTGCCAGGGTGCCCTTCTGCAATGCCAGTCGTGTGGACCACGTCTTCTGTGACAGTGTGCTTTTGATCAAGATGTCCTGTGCAGAAACACTGATTGTTGAGCTGATCACCTTCATGGCCTCATCTATTATGCTCCTTGGCTCACTGGGCATGACAGCAACATCCTACCTTTACACCATTAACACCATCCTTACATTGCCCTCAGGTTTCTCGTGGCTGTAGACATTCTCTCAGGTATCGCCTGCCTCCAGCACTGCTGGGGTGGCTGAGCAGGGGCCTATGCAGCACAGTAGCACATGGTGTCCTCTCGTGTGCTAGCTGCCAGGTCCCTTCTGCCTGGCCAGCAGTGGGGAGACAGCTGCTTGGAGCTCTTAAAAGCCATTGCAACACTGTACCCAACAAGGTGGAAGATAGGAGCTCTTTCAGTGTTTTCTTACAAGGAAAAGTCTTCTCGTCATCATTTGTAGTGACTGAAAAAGAGGGCGCTCCCATGGGAATTGTCCATGGGTCTACTCAAGTTTACTGTTATGTTGATCTCCAGCTCCTCAATATGCAACGGTCGTCCGGTCAGGATAACCTCACACCCTGCTAGAGAACATGGACCTCTGCTAGAATGCCTCGTTCAAAGGGAGAGCAGAAGGTAATCCCTGACCTGACATGGGGGAATGCTCTCCTGGAAGAGTTTTTCACAAGAAGACAGGGCGGGACTGGTGGAAGATGTGGAGGGCAGCTTTGACTACAGTGTGAGTGAAGTTGGTGGGGTTGAAAACCCTGAGGGAATTGAGCACAACAAATCATAGCCATGCTGAACAGAGAAGGAAGGATCACCTCCCCCAACTTGCTGGCAGTGCTCCTCCGAATGCAGCCCAGGATGTCGTTGGCCTTCCTTACTGCAAAAGTGCAAAGCCGGGAGAGGAGAAGGTGATGAGAAGACCTAATAACAGCCTTCCTGTATGTTCTTGATATCAGCAAGAGAATGGAGCCAGGCTCTTCACTGTTGAGCCTGATGGGAGGATGAGGGCCAATGGACATCAACTGAAACAAGGGAGGAAAAACTTTCTCCCCATCAAGGCGGTCATGCACAGGAGCAGATTTCCCAGAGAGCTTCTGTCATCTCCATTCTTGCAGCTTTTGAAGCTCAAAGTGAATAAAGTCCTGAGCAACATGTTCTGAGCCCATAGGTGACCCTGCTTTGAGCAAGATTTTGGCCTAGGAATCCCTTGATGTTGTTGCCAGCATAAATGATTCAGCATTTCCTTCCACCACACATCTTGCCTTCATGATGGGAAGGGAAACATTCAGGTTCCTGGTAACAACTGAAGGAAGCC